CTCTACCCATTAGTAGACCACTTTATGGGCAAAGTTTCAGCTTAAAATACAATACTTCGAATTTTTACTATATACCATACTCCACAGGAAAATTTCAGTAAAATGCCTATAATTCCAAGAAGAAGCCCTATGGGAACATGTCCTTTTGTGGTTTTTCATACCTCACTGGGGTCTATCTTACGCATATAGACTGAGCTCAAAAGCGATTAGTCAGTTGCATCGGTTCCCTCGCCAGTCAAAGCCGTTGAGTCCGAAATTTTTATCAAGAATATTTATGTTAGGATGTGTAGACTAAGCATCTGCAAAGTTAATTCTTTTTTACCCCCATTCTGGTGAAAAATGCTTTAGTCCCAGTCCCGTTCTGGACTCGATGTCAATTAAAAATTGTATTATGGTCAAAAAATTTCAATTTTCGAAACTGAAACGAGGATCGATGAAATTTTTTTATCAAAATTATAAAGAAAATTGCTGTTTTTTAGATTTCTGACCACAAAAATATCAAAATCTATTAAGAAACGATGCTTTATAGTAGAGAAAACATTTTTCAACATAATGAAACATCTTTAGACTTTTTATGACCTTTCTTCATTCAACTAATCAAAGCCTCAAGACATTTGATAGGTGGCTGACTCTAGATCGTCGACTGGATGATAACACAAGATAAATGTGATCGTATACCATGGTTTATTCGAAAGAAAGTGAATGCTATATATAGGATCAAGACCAGCCGTATGGATGGAAATATCCATCGGCTGAACGAGATGACAAGTGAGAGAAATACCATGAATCACAATAGATAGAAGAGGAGAACACATAGTGAAGAAAGGAAAAAGACCAAACATATATGATGGGTGAACATAGAAGGAAAGAGAAAAGATCATATATAATGACGTAATATCGCAGGAAAGGAAAAGACCAACAAACATAAGAAAGAGAACGAAAGGAGAATACCAAGTGAAGAATGAAAGTGAAAAACATCTCTATAGATGAAAGAGAGAAACATAAGCGGGCTCCACCTGAAGAAGTGTCGATACCACCTCCTAACACATTTCTCTAACACTTTTAAAAATTTCAACAATTTTGCCATGTTTGTCTCTTTATAGTCGTTTGTGTATTAGCTGCAATTCGATGAAGGAAAATTATGAGGTGCTTAAAGACATCTTACTTTACTCGAAGATTTTTGCTCTATGAAAAAATACAGTTTTTAATAGCTTCGTCAAACTATTACCGTTGAGAAATGGTGAAACTAAGATTTTGAGTTAGAAGAACTCAGCCTCTCTACAGGCCTTTGAGCTAGGGAACTGCAAAATCACGTTTTTTTGGTCCCAGTCTCGGTCTCGGTCAAAATTTTTTTCAGTTTCGGTCTCATTCCGGTTCCGATAAAAGTCAAAATTTTGGTCTCAGGATCATTTTGCAGTTCCTTACTTTGAGCTCTTCTTAACAAATAAAATATACATGTTCAAAAATTTTGCTACAAAACTGAATCTCTCCATATTCCTGTTTAATTTTCTTACTACCGTGGGGAAAAAACACATAAATCTTGTCCATCGCTACACGCATTATTAGTTAATTATAAACGATCATATTGTTCAACCTAAGTTTTGTTTATCAATAACTATCTTTCTCACATATTGTTCAATGAAAATCTTTTTGATATTCTTACTTGTACATTAAGAGTATTTTCAACTTCAATAAATAAGACTAAAATCAAATGAATCTAAACTAAATCTAAGTACATCATATATAAATTTTTCAATCCATTTTGTTTTATCCATAACAGGTGAACGTATTAATGTATATTCATCTTCAATCATTTGTAAATGGAAGTTTTTAAGAAAACAAAGTATTTTTTCTGTCTACAATAGATAAAAATACAAAAAAAAATATTGTTTTTAAAAGAAAGAAACTATTTTAAATACTTGAATTACTGTTAAACGTGTTGAAATTTTACCAAGTAAAATTTCCATTTGCCATGCATATTCAAGTGTTTTACGTTTCAGTGGTAAACCTTCATGTGAAAGTATTGCATGACCACGAATTATTAAACCAAATAATTGAAGACTTCCTGTTGATAAATGTTGATCAGATTTATTACTCTATATAATTAATAATAAGAATATTTTGTCATAAATTAGTATAAATACTTACAATAACTGTATCTTCAACATAAATATTAATAGGTAAAGAAAAATACTTGTAATCTTGTTTCATCTGAATCTGTTATCATTTCAACACAAAATCTTTCGCAAAAACCAAATGAACATGGTTCATTATCTGTATGCTTAATAAAAAAGAGAAAAATAATAGAAAATAAATTTAGTCGTTTTATTTTAATAAAAAATTAAATATACATGAAGAAGATGAACTGTTATATTATGAAGTGCAACACGTCAAGTAACCATTAATGGTCAAAAATATCTTGGATTAAAGGCTTATTTCTATCAATTGTATCAATAAGTGGATCATCATTTATAAATCACATAGTAATTCTGGTTCATATATATCATGATACATTTGATCCCAACCAAATAGATTTTTCTTGACAAAAACAAAAACAACAAATTTAATTCTTTTATGAAAATAATAAATTTTTAACTTACTTTAACCCACCAAAGTTTTTTTTTAAAAATAAACGATGTAAAAGTAAATTAACAGAACTAATATCAATTTCAATATTAAATATATCATAACGAAGTTTATTTAGATGAAATGTTTGTCGATTATCTAATGATTTTACATATTGAACATATAATAAATCTAATTGAATAAATATAAAGTAGAAATTATTTATAAAAAAAGATTTGTTTTACCACTTCGATTCATATCAATTGGAGGTGATAAATAAAGTAGAATTTATACAAGGATTTTCAAATGATTTATTTCACCATAATCAAAACAATCATTTTTGTAATTAAAGAAATGAATAACAAGTAAGGAAGTGCATACATTTTGAAAAACAAATCTTATTCTTTTCTAAAAACATTCAAATCGTGCAAAATCTTCTTTATATTATCGTTTATCAAATGTATCAGATAATGATATTTGTAATTTAATTCCATCTAGTTCATAAAATCTTTTATGTGCATCAATTCTTTTCACAATATAATACATTCGATTACTTTCTGGTATAACCAAACGAACAAGAACATCATTAATCCAATATAAACAAAAAAGAAAAAGAAAAATTTTCCATTTTATCATTTCAACAAAACAAACTTTAATCGTTAAATCCATTGGTGTAGCTTCTGGACAAATTGTAAAAATGATAATGAATAATTCAATAACAGTGATTTAGCACATAAAGATACATAATCTTCAATGAAAAAACAAATGTATTTAATTTTACAAAAAGCAAAATTAATTTACTATTTTCTACTGTTTATTCATTTTTTGTATCTTCTACAATCAATCCAATTTTCTTGATTACATGGAATTAATAATTCAACTAAATCATTATGTAAAGTTATATTATAAATAAATGGTGTAAAAGAATAAATATACGTTGATACAGCTGGAGATCAATCATTAATTAAAGCTATAAATTATTAATAGTAAAAAACACTAGTTTATAAGTTTTTCTACTTATTAAAACATAATTTTACCTTGTAGAAAATTTTTATGTTCAAAAACAAAATACACTTGAGCTTTTGTTGTATCAATATTAATAAACCATTCTTGTAATGAATTCCATAAACGTGGATAATGAATATGAACTTTAATCTAAATAAAAAAAAAAGTTAATTCGATTTTTTTTTCGTTGATTTTATTTTTACATTAAGTTTTTCAGCTTGAAGAAATGGTGAAAATGAAAGATTAGTATGAGCTATTGTTTTAAATAAATTTATTGATAAATTTGTATTAGGTTGGTAAGAAATTTTTTGCGTTTTTTTTTTTAATTTTAATTTTATTTTTTAACTTCAAAAATATAACTAACTTTCATCGACATATGCTCCACTATTATCTATGATCTGTCGCCAACGCTGCGGTAAAGAAAGGATCCCGTGCTCATAGAAGTCCTGGGACTTCTGGCCAAAGTAGTTGAGCAGATCCATTTTTAGGTCATTCTCGTCGTCGAATTTTTTTTCACGTAAATAATTCGATAAAAAATGAAACAAGTGGTAGTCCGTAGGAGCCAAGTCTGGAGAGTAAGGTGGATGTGGAACCATAATCCATCCGAGCTGCAATAATTTATCACGCGTTGATTTTGCAATGTGAGGTCTGGCGTTGTCATTGTCATGCAAAAAATAAACTCTGTCTTGCTTCCCTTGGAGTTTAGTTGCTACTCTATCCAATTGCTGACAATAGATATGAGCAGTGAGGGTGCAACCAGTTGGAAGGAGTTCCCACTGAATAATTCCTTTAACACTCCACCAAACACTTAACATAATCTTCTTTGGATGAAGGTCACCTTTGGGCGTTGCTACACCTGTTTCTCCTGCTTCCAGCCACTGTCGCTTGTGCGTGTGGTTAACATATAATACCCACTTCTCATCCCCAGTAATAAGATTGTGGAGCCATTGTTAGTTGCGATGAGAGGTCATTAATTCCATACAAGCGTCAACCCTATGTTGAAACTGATGTAGTGACAACTCATGTGGTATCCAAACACCATATTTCCACGTTTTGCCTAATTCATGGAGATGTGTTTCCACTGTAACATGGAAGCACCCAAGTCGCTCTGCTAAACATCTTGTTGTCAGTCGAGGATCTTCTTCGATAAGCTGCTTTAATTCGTCCATAGCCACCTGCATCGGTTTTCCAGTATGAGGTAAATCATCGAGTCTGAAGTTGCCGTTCTTGAACCTATGGAACCAATGTTGCGCTGTACGAACGGACACTGCATCCTTGCCCATCATGCTGGATATGTTGCTCGTTGCTTCCGTTACTTTATGACCCAAACGGAATTCATGAAGCAGAAGCACTCTTAGCTCTTGTCGAGATATATTCGCTTCTACTTCGAGATCGACGTCCATATTCTTGATTTTATTATCATTCGAAAGACACTCATACCCCCTTTATATACCCTTAATATGGAATCTTCTCGAACTTTCTCGACTGTTCTAAAAAATTCTGAAAAAAAAAAGCAAAAAAATTTTTTACCAACCTAATATTAACATCATCAACATTGATGGTATATGGAAATATTTCAACAAAATATGAACCTTTTAATGGAACTTCTACATGAATTTGTTGAAGTTTCTATAGAAAAGAAAAACCAATGAATGCAAAATATAAAAAGAATTAAATAAAACCATTTTTCTATTTGATAAAATACAGATCGAATATAATTGAACAATTAAATGATAGTTTAAATCGAATATTTTTAAATATTTGTGTTTGACCAATTGATGGTTCAAATGTTATTGGAAAATCTTCATATAATGTTGGTAAAAAATATTACCAAAGTAATTCTTTTTATTGAAATAAAAAAATATTATATGTTTAAAAATATTTATTTAAAATTACCTTTCCCGATCTGTCCATGGTCCATATGCAATTTTTGTATCTTTATCACATTTAATATGAATTTTCCAAGCTAAACCAGGATTGTTTCATCGTTTACTAATGGTTCAATTAGTTTATCTTGAAAAAAAAAACAAAGATTCAAATAACAATAAATATTTTATAAAATAATAAAAGTTTTACCATGTATATCTTGTTCATATTCGATGTACACATCTAAAAACACAAATATAACTGCTACATATAAATGCTCTTAAGATATCGAGGCTAACGTCAAACATTATATTTTTACATTTCGTTTCAGACATTTTATACATAATCAAAAAACTAAATTTAATTAAATTATATTTGAAATATATGTGAAAATATAGGATAAGATATTGAATGGATAGGGTGTGGGTGTGGGTGTGGGTGTGGGTGTGGGTGTGGCTATTGGTTTCTCATCATCCATACCTCACACCCACCCCACACCCACACTCCACACCCACACCCACACCCTTACTTTCACTAAAGTAGCTATTATCAGAAGACTCACTATTAGGAACAATTATCTTATGAATTGATTGACGTTTAATTCATCGAATACAACGCCGCTGGTTTACTTTATAAGAAAATCGATACATTTATTCTAAAGGCAAATAAAAGATGATTATTATCCTAAAACCGAGGATCTAAGATAAGGTTGGAACAATTTTCAATATTATTCACGAATTCTATGAATCATGATTAATCCAATCAATCAGATTATTAACCATATTAAGTCGAAAGTGAACATCCAATTAATTATTTTTTTTAAAGTTGAACTAGTGGCTTCAGTTTTTTTATCGCTATAACGCCACATAGAGCGCTATTATAGTTATGATACTTAGCGTCGCTATATCGTTAGAGTAGTTACGGTGATAGCGCCGCCATATTGCTAGATAACGCCGCTATATGGCGTTTTGACGCTATAGCGACGCTAGTGTAAAAAAAGGACGACATGGGAAAACACTTAAAAAACATTCAGATTGAGGAATAAAATCATTGATTATTTGTCAAATACTGAATGATTGAAAGATGTTGATCATTTGTATTAATATTTTTACTTCCATTTATTGATTGATGATGATTGAAATTCTTAAAAGTAGTTATCAAGCTGATGGGAATTTTGATAAGCTTCCTTTTATGGAACTTTGAAAGTAGCTCATATTCTTTGCATGACTTTGTATTCTATTAGTTGGATTAAGACTCTAAGAAGTCGATTATCATTGCAAGTTGCAAGATTTTAAACGCACTAGTCGCTTCATGGCAACACATACTCTATATTAGTCATCCTATGTCATTGCGTCATGGAACTGTGAATCTTTGCATACATTTTTCTTCAACCGTTGACGTCGTCGCAACGTCGCAAGAGTGTGCACTCGATGTTTTTTTTTCTTTATTCTTTTGTAATATATGTTAAAAAGCAAGACCATGTGAGAAAATGAATAAAATAATGACGCAGACAAACGTAAAAGAGTAGCTTTTTTTTTACAGTATAAGAGAGCGAAGAAATGTAGAAGGTGCAAACAGTTTTTTTTAACAACAAAAGATGGCAGAACATGTTTGAGTGCATTTAACATTTTAAATCTTACATTTCTACCAATCCCCTTGTATTCTAGCCATTAAACAAACCCGTTTTATCTACAAACTTGATCACTACAGCAAAAAAGCAGCATGAGCCTACGACTAATCATAGTTCTCATTTGCCATGTAAGTTATCAGAAGCAATACTGAAATGAATTTTCGATATTATTTTGATCCGGCTATTTTAGCAAGTCCAATCAACGTTATTGCATCAAACACAACAACGAATAATCAGGGTAAGAAAATACAATTTTTTTTTATACGTAGTTTATTGCTCGAAAAGGTTAGTAAAATGATAAAAACAGAGATGCTTAATTTATAAAAAAAAAACAATATTCTGTTCATTTTACTCATTGATTGCTGTGAGTGAAAAGTTTTCAACGTATTTGAGTATCTCGATAATGATGATAGAAAAATACCAAATCTCGTCTGGTTCACATCAGCATAATGAAGAGAAAAAAGGAAATCGAAGATTTTGATGGATTTATTTTTCTTTTCATCCAATTCAATAGGCATGAACCACGAGAACGACGGCATTGGAGTTTGTGGGTGGATTCTAGTGATCTTATCCTATATCGTCGTTATACTTACTTTTCCATTTTCATTGTGTTTCACAATAAAGGTGAATTGACTTGAATGGTGTCTGCGAATGATTTCCCTAACCAATAAAAATTCTTGCTAGGTTGTACAAGAATATGAACGGGTGGTTATTATGCGACTTGGCCGAATTAGTTCTGGTAAAATACGATAATGAAACAAAAAAAACATTAATATTAAAAATAAGGATTTTTAATTTGCTAGATGGTGCCAAAGGTCCCGGTCTATTTTTTATTTTGCCTTGCGTGGACTTGATTACAAAAGTTGACTTACGTACTGGTTAGTAGAATTGATACAGGAGAAATTAAAGTGATCCATTTTTGGCAAATAAATATTTTTTTGTGTCTTTCTTTTTTAGTCACCTTCGATGTACCGCCTCAAGAAATACTGACACGTGACTCTGTGGTAAGTAGATTCGATCGAACTCAACGATTCTGAAAATCTATATGAAATCTCTTTTCCAAGACTGTATCAGTCGATGCTGTAGTCTACTTTCGAATTTGTAATCCAACTATCAGTGTGACGAATGTGGCAAATTCACGTGTGGCAACTCAATTGCTAGCAGCTACGACTCTACGTAACGTTTTGTGAGTAGAAACCGATCGATATCATGATACATGCTTTAAAGCAAAAGATAGATTGTTATGTTTTCATCAACTATCGTTATGCAAGATATTAAGCTTTGGTTTTCACCATTATATAAGCGATGTTCTTGCTATCGATCTATATAAGATATCTTACGAAGAAAAATTTTTTTTTCACTGGACCTGTTTGATTGACATGCTATCCGGTGTGCACATGTTCATTAATTCTCTCGATAGTTTATGGTCAAATTACGACAACACGTATCATTAATGATCATTGTTACGGTGATGTTTGTGATTTTGAGCCCATTTGAAGCACTCTAGCCAGCATGTTATCTGCTCAATTTTTCATGATATCCCATCATAGATTTGATCGTGCAAATATTATAATATTCAGACAAGAATTCTGAATATTATTATTTTCGTGCAATTTAGTGTAGAATGAAATTTCGCCAAAAAATTGAACAGAGGCTATACCAGTTAAATGACATGTTTTTACGACTGAAAAAAACAATAGAAAACTAGATGCCGTTACATAAAATATATAAGCATATAAAAGATTTCAAATTTTATGAAATTTTCAAGGAGCCAAAAAATGACCGGCTTTTTGCCATTAAAATTTTCGATGCTGAAAAATGTATAAAGAGAACAAAAATATGTAGAAAATGAGGCGCAATTTTTTTACCATAAATTTCATGTAAAAGGTTACATGTTTGTTTGCATGAGATGTGACCTATTGGCTATTAAAACACGTGATGATTTTATAATACAATCTGTTTCCTGATTTGAACAGAGACTATCGCGAAAATTAACAAATATGCATACAACAAAAGACGAATGCCAATGAAAAATTTCCTCAGAAAAAGCCTCTTTTGTCCTAATAAAATGTATGGAGATCGATTGTACAGACATCGTTCTTTTGAAGGATGAAAACTGTAGATCTATATTTCGTACTAATTCAAAGTTATTGAAAGAATGTCAAACTGTTTTTTATTGAGAAGTAAGGATAAACTGGTATATATTTGTAGGGGTACCAAGTTACTTCAAGAAATCCTCAGCGATCGTGAAAATATTGCTCATTCTATGCAAACACATCTTGATGAAGGAACTGAACCTTGGGGTATCCAAGTTGAGCGAATAGAAATGTAAGTCTTCTGCGAATGATCGAATTCTTTCGAATCGACAATTTTAGTAAGGATGTTCGACTGCCTGTTAGCATGCAACGTAGCATGGCTGCTGAAGCCGAAGGTAAAGCCTATTTCAATTTTTGAATATTGAAACGAAACATGATAATATGCCTTTCTTCTCTAGCTGCACGTGAAGCTCGTGCGAAGTTAATTGCGGCTGAAGGGGAGAAGAATGCATCGCGATCCCTCAAAGTAAAATTTTATTCATCGATCCATAAAAACCAAATTTATATTTTCAATTTTTAGGACGCTGCTGATGTTATCAGTCAGAGTCCAATTGCACTGCAATTACGCTATCTTCAAACATTGACGCAAATTGCGGCCGAGAAAAATTCAACCATCATTTTTCCGATTCCTAGTTCGTGATACGGTTTTCTTTCTTACTTTCTCACTTTTAAACATCTTGCATTCTGATTCTAGTCGAACTTCTCAGATCGATCAAAGCATGACCCATTATTACGAACAGCAACGATTAAAAACACTTGAGCTTTTTTTGTTCAATATTTTGTCAACTTACATCGATTTCCATCGTTATACTGTCAAAAAAACTTTAAAATGCAATGCATTCACTGAAATTATTTAAAAAAAAAGAATTAAATAACTGTATACGTCGGATTTATATCAAATTTTTACATCTACATGTTCATCAAAGGAGTACTAGAGTTAAACAACTCAAGAAAAGATTATTTATATTGAACAAAATGTGAAGAAGACTTGATAAAATCACTCATTCGATTTTGTGACAAGTCAAAAATGTCATAAAACAGCAATATATCGAAAATTTCGTCAACTATGATGCTGTTTAATAATATTGAATCATTTTTAGTCAGCTCCAATTTGAAAGAGCAGCGCTGTTTCACATTGCTGTTGAATTATTCTTCTACATATCACATATATACTCTAAAAAAGAGGTTTTTTACCGATCCACCGAAAAAAATTCAGTAGAGTTGAAAAAATTTCTAAATGCATCGAGGGTGTGGGTGTCGGCGTAGTTGTGGATATGAATATCAGTTTGGGATCCAACACTCATGCCCATTCTCACGCTAAACTCATTCACAATTGTCCATAGAAAATTTTATTAATTGGATTGCTCAAAAGCAGTGCTCTAATACTGCCTAAAAAACAGTAAAAGCTTAAGTACGATTGCTCTTTCTGTTCTCGGCTTATAGTTATTCTTTTAATGACTTATTTAAAACAGACAGCAGATGGTAGTTAAATATGCCTTTCATCAGAGAAATTCTTATTTTCATAACAGTTTCTTTTTACTGAAATCGGATCCGGGTAGTTACGCTGCATATAAAAACTGACTCTTGTTGTTGTTTGAGTGAAGATAATGGTTGCAAGGAGAGATGTATTCTCTTGCAAAGAATGGAAGAAAAAAGAAATACATATTTAATGTAATTGTGTGTCACCATTGAAAGAGGGTGCAATTGTGGTGAGTGTGGGCTATGGATGACGAGATGAAGCGCATTCCCATCTACACCCTGTTATTTTAGAAAGGGAATTAGAACATGCAGCTCTTCAAATTGTGCTCATTTGTGATTGTGCAAACTCGATTTTTATTGTCATTGATTAAAGAAAGCACTTATATTCATGTAAAAATAAAATTTGAGATGATTTAATTTAGCTTACATTCTCCAAATCAGTTATAGTAGGAGGCATGGCGATTTGTATTATACTTATGTCGTATTTAATGAAGTATGTAGCACTTTTTGATGCATCGATTTTAACATTTGAGCTATCTCTGCATCGCTAAGAGCCAATGCCGACTTCCACATTCGAAATATTTCCTGCTCTGTAAACCGATATGATTCATCGTTTCCTAAAAAAAAGGCGTATGTACTGTACAGAGAGTGTGGGTGTGGGTGTCGGTGGGTTTACGTTTCATTGTGGCCTAAGTGCTGTTTTACATCCACACCCCACCCATACCGACACCCATACCCACACCACCCACACATCCTCTCCAGGAAATATCGAATCTCACATAGGTTACGTAAAGAAGAACGAAAAGAAATGAGAAAGGTTAGCGGCAACTATGTAATATCTGTTGACGCTAACAAGTACATCTATGTTTTAGATGACGATTCAAAGAGAACTGTTAGATTTCTCTATAGTACCTGACTGTAAAAATTCAAGATTTGCATTTCACCAATTAGATATCAGGCATATTGCTAACTTTTTTCCGCGAGTAGCTTCCGTCATATTCATCTTTGGAAAATCTTATAGATAAAAACAACTATTTGTATTATATTTGCTGCTGAAGATTTCAAAAACTTAAATAAAACTAGAAAAACAAGTCATTTTTGAAGTCTTTTTCTTTTACCAATAATAAACGACCTAATAAACATACAACTAATGCATTTTTATTGTCATTTCGGTCATAAGTGTATCTAATTGTGCGATTGTTTTCTCTTCAGTTCGGTCGTATTCAAGTAAAACTTTTTGCGCTGATTCAAATTGTGCGTAAGCAAGTTTAAAACGTCCAAATTTATGATACATATGACCAACATTTATATAATAATCGACTAATTCCAAGTGATCAGATGTTAAACTTTTCCTCCCAATGTCCAATGCTTGTTGAAAATATTCAAGTGCTTTTACATGATTGCCTTTTTTATCGTAGACAGTGCCAATATCATTTAACGCTGTTCCAATTGAAGGATGGTTTGGAGTTAATGTCTTTCTTCTATTTTCTAAAACCTTTTCAAGCTTTTGCAAAGCTTCTTCTGTATAGCCAGAATTTTCCATAAGCTTGGCTTTGAGACGATCCACGTGAGACTTCAATAATGGGTAATTTGTTGGTAATAAATTGAATTTTTCTTCAGCTTGTGTGTGTTGGTCGTCTGCATTTCGCCAATCGTCTAATGCCAAATGAGCTAAACCAAGATTACAATGAACAGCAATAGCTCGACAACTATTTTGATAACCCAAATGAGAATAAATATCAAGAGCTTTTTCATAAGATTGAATAGATGGATCAAGTTTATTTATATCTTTATATATAAGACCAAGTAAATTGTAAGCATCTCCAATTGCTATATCATTTGGCGGAAGTTTTTGAATCATCCATGTAGCATAACGTTCAGCTTTATCGAATTGATTCATTCGAAAAAGAAACCAACCGAATGCCAAAGGACCTGGTTCTGATTTAAATTGTTCCAACATATGATCTAACCAATGTTGACCAAGTTTATTTTGTTCTTTATTTAGTTCTAAATAGATATGCCATTTATTATTATGACTTTTTATTGATTTAACTTTGAATATAGCACCCATTGAAAAAAGTACTTCTCTTTCATCTGGATTGCACGCATGATTTTCTATCAAAGCAAATGGTGTCATTTCTCTACTTAAATTATGAACATCAATAATGAAATACACAGATTGTAATGTTGATATTGCATCTAATTGATCAACTGGAGTTGAGTATAGTTCAGCTACCTCGAATTGTAATGTAGCACTTAAGAAGCTATTCATTATAATAAGTTCATTTTGATTCTTTTGAAGTTGTTCAAGTTCTGACATAGTTAAAACTTGACTACGATAAACTCGGAAATGATGATTTGACTCAGAAAAATGTTTATTGAAATATTCATTATAAAGTTTTTCGATTTGCTTCTGAAGTTCATTGATAAAAAAATCGAAATTTAAATATTATTTCCATATTTTGTGTACGTAATGCTTTATTTAATAAACGATATAGAAAACTATCATATGTATACCACCAAACTGCTTTTTCTGGGGAGTAGTCTTTTTCAAAATCAATTATTTTTTTGTTTTGAGCTTTATTATCATAGTAACATGCTTGACATACCTCAACCATATCATCTTTTGCATTACCATATTTTACCATTGATTGGAGAACTGTAAACATTAAACGATACCATATAGATGTTATACTTTCGTTAGTTAATTCTTGTAATGTTTTATCACGTTCAGAAAGATGAAATATACTCATTGGTATATTACTATCTGTAATATATTTATTGAGATCATTTGAGATTCTAATATATAGTTCTTCTGGTCTTGTAAATATACCCAAAACTTTTCCAATTGATTTCGACCATAGTTCTGCTGCTTTTTTGTTTCGACAATAAATATAAATTGCTTGTAGCTGTGTGATAATTCATGTATTAGTGGCACAATATTTCGACCAAATGCATTAGAAGTAATAAGAAATACTTGTTTTTCTATTAATTCTGTGGTTATATCATCAATACATTGATCTGGATCAGCAAATATCTTTAAATGACCTCTACCCACGTGTCGTATACGTCCTCTTATATCTTCACTTTGTTTATCCGTTTCAATAGTATCATCCAACCAAATTATATGGCAACTGTTCACTATTTTATTGACATCATCATTTACCATGTTTTTGCGCACACCTTACTAAAAAAATAAAGTTATGTTGATTTCTGTTCTTTGTGTTTCTTCTTCTATACTTTAGTTCGTTTTCTTCTAAAGGTGAAGGGAACGATAGACAACACGTTTGCAAAGATTATCTTGTTTTTATTTACTCAGCAATGTTGACGTGGCTGTGTTTGGTAGTTTCCAATGCACTTTATGTGTTTGTTGGCCATTAATTTGGAAATTTCCAAATTGAAAGACATTCGATTACATATGCATACATGCTGCTTTTGTATGCATACAATGGGTGTGGGGTTTCTCACGATCTCTTCGACCACACTGACAACCTTTAATTTTCTTTTCTCAAGCAAAAAGAACATAAAAAGCATACGAAAAACTATGGAATCAAAGTCGGAGACACCTGAGTCATCCAACAAAATCTTGATCATTGTGAATCGAAACCATTAACGACTAAACAAATCAAAGAAGGTTCTCAAATGTAGCTCGTTGATCAAATTCATATTTTGGACAATATTACGGCCTTATATTTATAGTCATTTAACTACATTTCAGTGTGCCTATGAATATATCTTATTAGTTTCAGAATTTAGTAAAAATTTCAATCAAAAAGAACGCTTTCTTCTCAACATATTGAATATTGAAGAAATTCAATTTTCTAAACGCTTTCCATGCATATATATTGTTTATTTTTGAATAGTTTAATAACTTTTGAAAAAAATATTCTGTGTGAATGAAATTTTAATTCAAGTCTTAGGCTGTAAGATGCATTGATAGACATAATCTAAAATCGAAATTCTGCCATTCTATTTTATCCAGAGGATGATGGTACGACTGAATTCGTTTCCAGCTGAATTCTCAGTATTTTTCGCATGCCCATGTAACCATTTTTTGAATCTAAACGCGTTTCCGACCGTTTATAGCTAATAGAGGTAGACGCGTTCTGACTAGAGAGCAGTGGGTTCAGACACGGACTCTACCGGGTTCAGACCCGTTAAGTGTTTCGCCAATATCTAGCACCCTCTGCGCATATGAACAAGTGAAAGCTCATGGATTTAGCTAATAATTGGCTACTCTCTGAATAAAAGTTTATGTAAAGCTATCTCGTGTTGTTCATTTTTGCATCATTCGATGTGATGCTCAATAATTAAAATTATACTGCTTAACTGTATAGAACATTATGCTAACCAAAAAAGGAAATTGAAGAATTAATTGATAATCAACACTCATTATTGAACACTGTTAAACCAAAAGTAACACAAAAGTCTTCAGACGTATGGAATTTCTTTTCTCATATCTATGTGAACAATGTGAAACAAGAATATGTTACCCTAGAGAAAGTACTGAGTTCAGGGTACCCATGTACTGAGAAAGCTCTAGCAGGGTACCCAATATGGGTACTTTGAAAATTCTCAGTAATTTTACTGATGTATGTACTGTTTGGGGTACCCCTAAATGTACATTCACTGAATAAGTACCTGCATGGATACACAAGTCTGTAACTTTACTGAGGAAATCTCGACAGGGTATCCTAAAGGGTGTGGGTGTGGGATGTGGGTGTGGGTGTGGGATTGATAAGGGATAGATTTAACTCACAACCATAGCCCCACCCCCACCCCCATCCCCACACCCACACCCTTGCTTACTGCATGGTTTCGACTTGTCTATTCAGCAATTTTGGGAACTGCCTTATTAAATTGCATTTTTATTGTATTATTATTGACTGGTGAAAATTACTTGTCTGTTTTCGAAATAAGTCAAGTAAATGCCTTGATAGCTTTTTTTTAAAATGCATTTCATAATATTTGGTCAATTGGATTAATTGTTTTTGGATGTCATCTTTACATGCTTGGTTATGTCGTTCTCAAGTCTGGTTATATTCCAAAAATATTTGGTGTTTTATTAATCATTGCTTCTTTGTGTTACTTAGTCAACCATTCTGCTAATTTACTATTACTTAACTACGAAAAATATAAAGCAACAATTGAATTATTCATTAGCTTACCGATGAAGGTTGGTGAATTGGGATTTGGTTTATGGCTTTTATTCAAAGGTGGTATATTATCTGACCATGACAATAATTCACAGAGAAAAAAAGATTGATCTGTAAATTTCATAAAAAACTTAAACACTTGTTCTTTGTAAATCGATTTTACTTGAAATAAATAAATGACTATATACATACTTAAGTAGATTATTAAGTAAAGTAATGTCAAACCTAGAACTTGAATTCAATTATTGAATATCTGCTGTCAGGTTCAGTACTAATACACTTAGTGCATATGTGTGATGATATCGTTAATAAGCAGCATTTTGTGAATACATGAATAAGTGCATTTGATTGAGCCAGTCAAAAGTTAGTTCAATTTTACTATATGAAACTTTTCGTGTAATATATCGATTGATCTTCAGCGGCTTCTGATGGGTCCTTTTAACCTTGATCATGACTTCAAGAATCATGCAACATACGTCTGAAAATTTCTCGCTGATCAAAGTCCAATTTTATTCTAAATATGACCTCTGAATAGTTATCAATACTTTTTAAACAAGTGTGTCGCAGTTGAGATTAAAGAAATAGACTGCTTTCACTGTTCCTACAGTTGCTGAAAAAATAGTCAATGATATATATTTTAACTTTCCAATTCGATGGTTTTTAAACAATACTGGCTAAATGGAGTATAAAAGGATACATTTCCAGCATACGAGCTCATTTCTTTCTTTTCCTATCACCCAAACACTACATTTAATCTTTTAAGAAAAGAAGGATTTTTTAAAAAGTTTGATCAAAGGTTTTACTAGTCGAGAAATCCGAATCTGAAATCGGATTTACGAAATTTTGAGTTCGATTTTACGACAAAAATTATTTTCTACAAAAAAACAACTTTTTTCATCAAACTAGTTTTTCATAAAAATTTTTGTGGTAAAATCGAACTCAAAATTTCAAAAATTCGATTTTAGATTCGGAGTTCTCGGCCACTAAAACCTCTGTTCACACTTTACAAAAGAAATCGATCATTTGTTAAAAAAAGCTCTTCTTTTGTGAAAATATCTTTACTTTAATTACTTTGTTAAAGTATGCATGATGCTTACCTTGATAATAATGAAGTGTCTAAGTAATAGAAAAGGAAAGAAATGAGCTCGTATGCTTCTTAAAATTGTTTTATTAACAATTTTTTAAAAACTTTTTTGCATTTAAAAATATTATGTAATTTCAAATAAAAATATTACTAAAGTGAAAACGTCACCTATGTCGACTTTTTTAGCAACTTCGATCGCATTGTGACTTGTAACTGTGAAATTTTTTACCGTAGTTTGATCGCAGTCGAATACATGGGTCCCATATATCTGTGATTAGAGTCTCATATAAAGTTGAATGAATTAGTTATACTCAGAAAAATACAACTAGATTTTATATGTTGATATTGGTGGTCTAAATTAAGGTTTTTTTATACTGGAATTTCGAATTTATTTTTCCAGAATATTTTATTCAACTTTTATAGAGTGCCAATAACCATCCCTAGCGAAAGTACTCAGTTCAGGATATCTAATATAGGTACTTCGAAAAATCTCAGTTATTTTACTGATGGGGGTATGGGACTGACTCTTGTCCTCTTCTACACCCCCCCCCCCCCCCCCCCCCCCCCCACATCCGCAAGGGTTATATGCGCGACAAAAAGTTAAACTAATACATGTAAAATGAAAGGAATAAATAATAATATAGTTCCAGATTGCATATAGATGTACAAGAGAACAAGAAACTAATAGCGTAGCTTCAAAAATCACACAGAAAAATAAAGAATGTGAATGAATAATAAACAGAACAGAGGATATCGCAATCGTTTCACTCGAAGATAAGTAAAGAAGATGGATTATTACAATATGATTTCACACTTGTATATGATGTTGAGAAAATATCATCTATTGAAGTTATAGAATAGTCAATTGAATAGAAAGATGAAAATCTTTCACATCTATTCATGTCACTTGAGCTGGTGTTATTGATGACCAATGCAATTCGTAGGATAGATTAAGTGTTCTACAGAAGTCTCATCGTCATTATTCGTTCGTAATTTCACAGCTGATGAATATTTTGCAACATCTAATAATAAATCAAATGATCCAGTACCAATTTTAGCTAATTTTCCAAGTGAAATATTTTCTAAAACACCCTTTAATAAATCATATTCTGAATGAGTAGCAGCTTCTATTAAAGCATCAACAGTTTCCTCAAATGAACATCGTATAATAGGTCCAACACTGAGTCTATTAACTCCATGTCTTGTAATAGGCATTAAATGTCCTTTAGTCGTCATAACATCACACAATAAAGCTAAATGTCTATGATTAACATAAGATCCATCAAATGAAATAACATAATTTATTTCATGTTCAATTGATTTTCTAGCAGCTTCAATTCCAAGAATATCAAATATTTCTACAATATCATTTGTATATGTTCGACGCGAATCAACATCTTTAGTTGATAAAACTTTTTTAAAAGCTGTTCCATCAGTTACTAACATCCATTCAAAAATTTTATGAATTTCTCCATCATCATTAATTTGAATTCTTTGTTGTGAATCATCAAATATTGGACGAGCTATATAAACTTTTGATATGCCTTCAATGCCTTGTAAGGTTAAATCAGTAAGAATTGACAGTTCTAAATACCGAAGAAAAGTATTATCATCCATACGAGTTATATCTTTTTGATCGTCTTGTGTCGATGATTTAACTTGATTAATGATACGTATTCTTAAAACAAGTTTTTCAGCATTATCATCATTATATATAACATTAAGACAATCACCAAAACCTTGTGAAATTTTTTTCGATATTTTTTCCATAGTTAATGTTCTATCAGTTATACGTTTTCTATCTAATTCAATTCTTAATAACCATTGTGAAAGATTTCCTATATCTTGATCAGGCATTTCATAATATGCATTAACCCATTCTTGATCTTCTGAAATAATTGTTTCTTGTGGATCAGGATCATAATAAATGGCTGTATTAGCAGTTATGTTCCTTAAATTACAATGTTCAAGACGATATAATACTTCTTTACATTTTTCAACATCATTTGTTGCTTGTCCAGTTAAATAAATAGTTAATGATGGTGTTTTAAGTTCTTTTGAAACATTGATTATTTCTTTAAGACGTGGAATACCTAATGTAACATTTTTAGCTGAAACACCACTATAATAAAATGCATTTAATGTCACTTGTGTAGTTGATTCTCCAATTGGTTGTGCAGCTAAAGCGCCAACCATTTCACCAGCTTGAACTTGTGCTTGTTGAAAACGTGTTTCAATTTCACTACAAAGCCAATTAAATGCTTCATTTGTTAAACGATGAAATTCAAGAACTTGACGAGATGATAATGATGAACGTAATAAGATATTCATTAACATTGTTGCATTATATTGGGCTTCACGTGATAAACGATCATCACCTTTTTTTTACAATAAAAAACAAATATCCTTGTTTTTGCTATATTAGAAAAATTCTTACCTTTAACAACAATAAGATGTTGTGTTAATTTTTGTAAATCTTGAATAACTTGACTAGGTGATAAATTTGATTGTGTTCGATTTGAAATAGAAAATTTTTTTTTTGCATTATAAATTAATCTTTCTAAATTACAAGGTAAAACAATTTTTGATGTATTACCGGTTGGAAATAGTTGTCTTAAATTATGTCGATCTTCATTTAATTGTTTCCATTCATCATCTAATAATTGTAATGATTCATCTGTATATAAATCTTTAATAACATCATCAGTTAAAAATTTTCTTAAATGTTTTTTTTCAGCTAATAAATCAAATTTACATAAACGTTCAAATAATTTATTTGATGGTTTTAATGATATAATTGATTGAAATTCAATATTTTCACCGGCAAGACCATCTTCACCATATGTAAATTGAATTATTTGTTCAATTTCATTTCTAACAGTACCATCATATTTAACCATAATAGATTCCATAGCTTTAATTAAACGTCGTTGTATATAACAAGTTTCAGCTGTTTGAACAGCTCTATCAACAAGACCTTCTCGTCCACCCATAGCATGAAAATAAAATTCAACTGGTGTTAAACCTTGTAAATATGAATTTTCAACAAAACCTTTAGCTTCAGGTCTATAATCATCTTTAGTAAAATGTGGCAATGTACGATGTTTAAAACCAGATGAAATACGTTTTTCTTCAACACTTTGTTGTCCAACACAAGCAATAACTTGTGCAATATTTATAGATGAACCTTTACCACCACTAACAACCATAGCTTTAAATTGATTAAAATCAGATAAAGATCTTTGTGCTGATGAACCAGTACTATCTCGAGCACTATTCAAAAGACTATTAACTATATTTTCAAATGTTTGTCTTAAAGAATTTCCAGGTGTTCGTTCTAATGAAGTACGATGTGCTAGTTCAATAACTTTATTAACTTCATTTTTTGCTTTTTTAATTGTTGTTTGAATTTTTTCATATGTTTGTTGATCAACTATTGTATCAGCTATACCAACTGAATGTCCTTCTAACATTAACCAATTGTTAACAACAAGTTGTATATGATAATATAATTGTCCAGCTATTTGATGACCATATTCCATAAAAACAATATGTCCTAATGAACCAGTTGACGTACCTAAAGTTTTTTTACATAATATACCTGATAATAAACGTCCATTTTCAATTAAAACTTTTGTATCACTAGGTGATATCCATTTATATGGTCCACTATCTTCATCATATGAATGTTGACTATTTGTACGTACACAATTAATTTCACGTGGAAGAATTAATGAAAATAATTGTTTACCAGTCCATAATGGTTTTGGTTTTAAAATAGTTGCTTGTGGTATATGTCCATCCCATGATGATATATGCATTAATAAATTCATAAAATCACTTTTTTCAATAAATACATCACGTTTAGTCATTTTCCAAACAGCTGTTAATGTATCTTGTACAATACTCATAACAGGTCGATGTGATTGTGGTGTTATTATTAAACGTGGTACCATCATTAATTCAGATAATTCAGCTTTAGCTTCAATTGATTGTGGTAAATGTAAATTCATCTCATCACCATCAAAACTAGCATTATATGGTGTTGTTACAGATAAATTTAAACGAAACGTTGACCATGGAAGAATTTTAACACGATGTGCCATCATTGACATTTTATGTAATGTTGGTTGACGATTAAGTACAACTAAATCATTATCCATCATAAATCTTTCAACAATATAACCCGATTGTAAATGCAAATCAGATGGTTTTGGATGAAGATGAAGATCAATTATCTCACCTGTATCTAATATTATATTTTTAGCTGCATCATGACAAATTAATTCGTGTAACCATTTTATATTAAATGGTGTTACAATTTCAGGTACAGTTAAATTTCGTGCTATTGTGCGTGGTACACCAACTTGATCAATTGATAAATTTGGATCTGGTGTTATTACTGTCCTCGCACTAAAATCAACTTGTTTAGCCATTAGATCTCCTCGAATTCGACCTGCTTTGCCAGAAAATTATAACACTTATACATACATATGAGATTGAGGAGTCGAATTGAATACCTCAACTATTTTTCATATCATGTAGCTTCTATAATACATTAGAGAATTATGATTTTCTTTTTATCAATGATAGTACTCGTATAATGCTGATGATCGGTCACCTTATTAAAATCTTTAAAAAATCTCTTACTAATTAGTTATGAATAAATTTTTTTAGAAGCTTTAAGTATTTTGTTTTTGAATAAGGTATAGACCCCTTGAACTTGGTTAATCATCAACAGTATACGAGTATTATCACTGTTAAAAAAATCATAATTCTCCAATGTATTATAGATGCTACATGATACGAAAAAACATAATTGAGGCATCCAGTCAGACTGCTCAACCCTATATATATATAGAGAGATAATAAAATACAAGTGATGGACCTTCTAATCGTTCTTTTATAGATTTTAATGGTGTTCCACTTTTCTGACAAGATTTTGGTATTCCAGACTTATTATTATCAATTAAAGTTGCACAATGATATTGAAGATGTTGCAAATCTTCTTCAATGATATGTGAAGCTTCACCATGTTGTTCATGTTCACGTAAGATATTATTTGCTTTAATTATATTTGCTAAGTTGTATGTCAAATCATCATGACAATGAGTTACATCATCAAATGATGATATTGATGGACGAACACACATAGGAGGAACTGGCAAAACAGTTAGAATCATCCAATCAGGTCGTGTTTGTTGAGGATTCATGCCGAGGATTTCACAAATTGGATCAGAAATTTTTTGAAATATTTCCAGAACACGTGCAGCTGATAATTTTGATCTCGTTCCTTCATTTTCTTTTAATGTTTGTTTCCATTCAATTGTCAATTCTAAACCCGATCGACGATAAATTGGTTGTTTTCTTCCACAACCATCTGAAGTTTTAATTGTTACATGGTTTTGATTCTTAGTTCCTTCAATACAATAAAATAAAATAAAACTTTGAATTAAAACTCAAACCTTGACAAATCCTTTGTCCTTTACATGCATCAAAAACATAAGCAAGACGTCGACGATATTGTTCTTTTGTTTTTTTAATAATATCAATTATTTTTGAATCATTTGGATCGACCAATAGTTTCGAACAATGAAAACAAACACATCGTAAAATCTTCAATATTTTCAATAAAAAAGCAATATTATATACGGGCTTGATCACTATTAGAGATCAATAGAATTTATCTATTTAGTTGACGCTAAAAACGGAAATGAAGAATAAAATTAAATACTGACATTCAATGTGACCAAAATGTCCAGGACATTCAACATAAGAACCAGCGCAAGTATGACATTTTGAATTTTGATCAGGTGGACCCTGTCGTGGATCCATAAGACCTTGAATATTTGCTTTTCCTTCTTCCAATAAATCTACATATTCAATCGGTGGATTTGTTACCGACATTCGTCGAATTTCATCTGGAGATAAAATTCCGAATTGTATACGGTTCACATTACGATGTGGCACCATTGAATCAACTATTTGTGAATTTAAGTAAACCATTTCATTACTTTAAATTCAATAGTACAAATGCCACAATTACATTTAAATATGCATAATTTATATTACAACAATCTTAGTACTACGATAGAATCTTACCAATGACCAATGAACTCAATGAAACACGAAAATAGATTAAATTTTACTCTACACTTTCGCTTCTACGTTGAAATATCTCATATGAAACATGACACACAATAACACATCATTTACATCTCGACAGTTACGCAAGAACGATCAAACTTCGATTGGTCTCTTTCTTTACACCAAATCCATTGATATTTTTCGACAGATGGTGTTGCTCGTCACCAGACCTTCTCGACAGTACAACCATTCGATGCTCTATTTAGTGTCTATATTGAAAAAAACTATGACATTAAATCGCAATCATTTATCAATTTTTTTTTCAAGACTACTATGATTGATAGAAGTTGGTTTTTATATAGAGATTCGAAACTATTTAGCATACTTTTGCACAAGTTTCCGATGTATAGGAAAATATTTTAGAAAACTAATTCGAAAAGTCCAGTTTCCATCATAGAACTTGGAAATTTCATCTTCGGTAAGAAATGTCTGAAAGCATTAAAATTACAAACTCTTAATTGTTTCGCTGTGATGATGATAACGTTTGTAGTATGTCAGTGCATTTTTGAGTCTCATGTTAAGATTTCAAAAAAATTCTATAGGAAGGCTTCTTCTGTGAGAAATATCATACAGATTTAATCAAGCAATGATCTTTAATACTTTAAGGGTGTGGGTGTGGGTGTGGGTGGGTCTTGGTGTGCGGCCGGTTCATACTCGTAAGAAGATTGCATCCACACAAGTGCAGCGCACCCACAGGCGATTTTCCTGAACATTGATAGCAATGTTGAAAATTTCTTGATCAGTGTTGCCTCGTTTCAGCGTTCAAGGTCATTTTGGAATAATGTTTTCTTTTATGGAATTTGCTTGAAAGATAGTTGTCGATCTCGATCATATAGGAGAATGGAATTATTGTCAAGGAATATGGATAGAACACTTGGTACGTGTTCATGTGAAAAGTGTCTTGTCTGTCTTTTACGCAATGTGAATCAGATGTCTTTTAGAAAATACAGAATCATTTTTCTTTACGACATCTCCATCATTGTTAACATTTGCTGATTCCGCATCACTTCACCTACATATTGACTTTGTGCTGTTTGTCTTGGAAGTTGGAAAAAACCCAATGCTGACAGTCAACAACGCACGTCATTCTTCATTTTGCTATCGAATCCTTTCGACGCCAATGAAAGCAACTGCTCAAGTGTTCCTTGTGCAAGGCAGAGACATCAACTTTCTGCGAAAAGCAAAGAGAAGACATATGCATCAATCAAATAGTTCTCTCTGTATGAATGATGGATGCATTACAAAAGACACGATACATCCTTGTCTAAGAATTATAACACGAGGGTCTGCAGGATTCGGTTCGAGCTTTTCAAATGAATAAAATATTTAGAAAAGATTATGGATGTCGCATTCAAGATGTTCAACAAATTCTCTAAAAATCACATTCAAGTACAGTGCATGCCATCTGAGACAGAGTTCAGTTGAATGCAACGTCAGAATAACGATCAATCATCATCAGACTGTGTGCCGATATTGGATAGTGGTGTGACTCTTATGACTGTCCTTCGTACAGGAGTACTTGGCGGTTCGTCTTCTGTCGAACTCCCCTTATGAGTCATTTCCATATCATCGTTGTGGTGCAGGAGAATCGATTTACGACTAGTTCTCTGCGCAACACGAGGTGTCGACCACGAAGTGCGAAAACATGCTTCGACATATATCGATTGGGAATCATGTTCGCCGAGTGGAACAACTCGGCTTCAATCACTTTGCCATGCCGACATTCAAGTCTACGCTCGGTGCTGTCGAGAATCGATAGATACTATAGCTTTGTCTCGAGACAACCACCTTTAATAGAAGTGAATAGGATCATTTATCTCACTTGATGTTGGGTGTGGGTGTTGGTATGGGGTTCATGAAGCGAATTCACCCACACCCTTTTTAACATTTGATAAAATGAAACTAGAAATATCTCGTTCTTTTTATACTTTTATTTGACGTTATCAGAACTTTTGCTCAATCCTAAGTATTATAAATTTTACCTAAAAGAATGTTAGAATTAAATCCAAGGTAGAGTTGTTATATGCATTATTACAGACGACACAGTTTACTATTTATTCATGCAATAAACCTTTCAAAACTAAGTGTTTTATAAAATTTAAAATGTCGTGACCAGAACTTTGGGACCACCCTAAGTATATGAGCATGCGTTGCTGGAAGTGATTTTTCTAAGAGAACAAGGGCATTTGCTAGATATAAAAGTGCTTTCGGGTAGCCAGCCATACATTTTTATGTTTCGTCCATGCTAGTGTAGGAATCACCCAATTAGGTAAAATTCGGAGGCAGAGCTTTTTCGCAGATTGGATGTGCTTTTTCTTGGAATTCAAGCGCTTTTGAGTAGTCACCCATGCTGTTATATACTAGACTGATGTTCTTGAAGGAATTAGCTAAAAACGGATGATTCGGAGGTAGAGTTTCTTCGTAAATTTTATGTGCTTTTGTGCAAAATTCAAGTGCTTTTGAGTAATCACCCATGTTCTTATAAACTTGAGCAATGCTGCTGTAGGAAGTAATTAATGAAGTATGATTCGGAGGCAGAGCATTTTCAGCGATTGTATATGCTTTTTCGTAGAGTTCAAGTGCTTTTGGGTAGTCTCCCATGATGCCACACACTAGACCAACGTTGTTGTAGAAAGTAGTCAATGAGGGATGATTCGAAGGCAGTGTTCTTTTGGCAATTGTATCTGCTTTTTCGTAGAACTCAAGTGCTTTTGAGTAGTTGCCTGTGTTGCTATACACTAGACCAATGTTATTGAAGGAAGCAGCCAGATCTGCATGATCCGGGGACAGAGCTTTTTCGTAAATTTGATGTGCTTTCTCGTGGAATTCAAGTGCTTTTGGGTAATCACTCATACTGTTGTACAGTAGACCAATGTTGTTGTAGGAAGTGGCCAAATCGGGATGATTCGAAGGCAAAGTTTCTTCGTAAATTTTATTCGCTTTTGTGTGAAATTCAAGTGCTTTTGGATAGTCACCCATCTTGTTATACACATGACCGATACTGCTGTAGGAAATAGTCAATGAAGGATGATTCGAAAGTAGAGCATTTTCTGCGATTTTATATGCTTTTTCGTAGAATTCAAGTGATTTTCGGTAGTCACCCATGGTGCCACACACTAAACCGATGTTGTTGTAGAACGTAGCTAATAAGGGATGATTCTGAGGCAGAGCTTCTGCAGCGATTTTATGTGCTTTTTCGTAGAATACAAGTGCTTTTGGGTAATCACCCATGCTGTTGTACAGTAGGCCGATGTTGTTGCAGGAATTGGCCAATTCCAAATGATTTGGAGGCAGAGTTTCTTCGCAAATTTGATGTGCTTTTGTATGGAATTCGAGTGCTTTTTCGTAGTCACCAATGCTGCCATACAGTCGACCAATATTGTTGTAGAAAGTAGCCAAATCTGGATGATTCGATGTTAGAGTCTTTTCGGCGATTGTATTTGCTTTTTCGTAGAATTCAAGTGCTTTTGAGTAGTCGCCCATGGTGTCACATACTAGACCCATGTTGTTGTAGGAAGCACTCAATGAAGGATGACTCTGAGGCAGAGCTTTTGTGTAGATTTGATGTGCTTTTTTGTGGAATTCAAATGCTTTTGAGTAGTCACCCTTGCTGTTATATACTAGACCGATGTTGTTGTAGGAAGTGGCCAAATCGGGATGATTCGAAGGCAGAGCTTTTTCGTAGATTTCATGTGCTTTTTCGTAGAATTCAAGTGCTTTTGAGTAGTCACTCATCTTATTATAAACTTCACCGATGTTGATGTAGGACTCAGCTAAATCCGGATGATTCGGAGGCAGAGATGTTTCTCTTATTATAAGTGCTTCATCGACGAATTCAAGTGCTTTGTAGTAGTCACCCATGTTTTTATATGCTAGACCGATGCTGCTGTAGTTTTCGGCTAATAAAGTATCATGTTTCGGAACAGTTTTGTTGCAAATTACGAGCGATTTCTGATGCAACATAATTGCTTCTTGGTATTGTCCTTGGCCATATTTCACACATCCAAGATGCTTATAGATATATGCTTTGTCATTGTCGTTTGAAGCATTCTTGAGTAGTTCATTGTAGAGCTCTTCAGCTTGAGCACAGTGACCCAATTTAAGCATAAGTAGACCCATCCGATCCCAGCCCGTACCCTTGATCTCCTGTTGCATGCGTTGCGTGAGAGCCATCAGTTGTGGATCGCTGTCATCGGTGAAAATCAATTGAACTTCCCATAGACGACTATTGTTGGTTGTCTGTTTGATTTCATCAACACGAAAAATAGTATTCATTGAAAAAAGAATTTCTTTTTCGCTTTTAATAGCACTATATTTATCGATCAGAGCAAATGGAGCTTTTGAAGCGGATACTTTACTCGGATCGACTGTGATGATGAAGAATACACCAGCAATGTCTTTATTTTTGTGCATCACACGTTGAACAAATTGCATGGCTACTTTTTTTTTTCTAGTCGTAGACAAGAAATTATTGAATGAGAGAAGTCCTCCTTTCGAATCACACAGATTTTGAAGGTCTTGTTGAGTGAGTGCCTGACCACGATAAACGATAAATTGTTGCTTATATTCTTGTGCCTGTTTTTCATGGAGCTTCTCTAATTGTTGATGAAGACTGCGAATGAAAAAGCCCATTTTTGCCATGATTTCCATGTCAAGAGACCGTAGTGCATGGTTGAGCATGCTGTACAGAAAAATGTCACAAGTATACCACCAGATTGTCGTTTTTTGGTGATATTTACGCTGAAAGTGTGCCAGTTGGGATTCAGGAATACCTTTGCTGCGACAATAGGCCACTAGATCTTCGACCGGTTTTGCATCATCTTGATCGATTTCCAATAGGATCTCTTTGAATAATACTGAATACATGTAGGACGGCTCCAATTGGTTGAGACGTTCTGAATCCGATGCTGCTGGTTCTGCGGTCATTATGTGCTTCGGAACAAAGTTCATCGAAATGGCATCGTAATCGCATTGGCGGGCTGCTTTTTTTAATGACTCACATATGGGCTTAATTGAGGTGAAAACACCTTGAATCTTTGACCATTCCTTTGCCCATTGTTCATGGCGTCCTTTGTTGCTACAAAAGATGTAAATGGTATCTAATTGTGCCATCCCATGAATAGTTGGTACGAGATGCTGACCTAAAGCTCCAGAAGAGATGACGAATGCTTTCTCATCATCTATATCATTGAGAAATTGAATACACTGTGCCGACGTTGTGCAAATGTGAAGCTCGTTGACGATACTGCGTAGTTGCTTGAGCGTATTTTGACAATCTTTATGTTCTTGATCAATATTACCATCAACCCAAATAAGAAAATAATTTTGAATCATGTTCCGTCTTGGTTGGATGGTATTCGATGATGTCGTTGAAGTTGCAGCGGCACCCATTGGTGGTGTAGGGATTTTTTGCTTAGAGTTTTTCCCACCCATATTGAAAGATGGTTTTGTTTTCGTTGCTACTAAGTAATAAACTTCATACAGTTAAAATTAGAGATATGGCTGTGAACCAGAAACAAGATAGAAAATAAATCTCGCAACGTCGGTGATAGTGTTGCTATTCTTTCCAAGTTTTATTAGCATTTCATTCTCATAATTACTTGAGTGTCACTCTGTTGGATAGTTTATGGATATGAGTACCGATGTACGTGAAACGATACACATCAACACGAACATTCACACCATACTATTTTAAAAGATTTTCGGAAGTATATTATCAAAATGGCATCAAAAATTGACTTGCTGAATACTTAAGCTATACGTTTCCTCTCAATTATCTTCAGAAAGGCTTTCAATAAAGGTCTGCAGTAGATTTAGGTGGTAAGTCTTTTAATAACAAGCCTTGCTTGAATAAAACAAGTTTAAAATAGTTATATTGAAAACTAAGGAGACTGTGATACCTTTTGCCGCATTTGTTACATGGCAATTCTTAATGATTGTCGCATTGCACAGATCGGTTTGCAAATAGTACATGATTCAGAAGCAATAGCAATATACCGAAATTCTCTATCACGTAATGACATACACATAAAAATGTTAGAATAGTAGAAAATACCTGCACTCTGCTTCTAGCAATAAGCTCAAGCCATCTGATGGGATTTATCTCACCACTCTGATTGATTTACAATACTTCTACGACTTTTTAATAAGGTTCTATCCGCTCGACTTTATCTGCTTAAATGTCCATTCTCACACATGCTAATTTCACAGAGGTATTGTTCTAGAAAGAAAAGCATGTCAAACGATGAAATTCATTTTAAGTCTGCAATTACTCTAGGATCGATGCTAGGGATGTCAGAGTTCGTGGTCTTTTGGGTTTTGCTCCTAGGAAACGGAAAGCCACTTGAAATTTCTCTTCAACGCATTGCTGAGCATTCAGAGGTGTTTAGACATACCTATTCTTTCTATTTATAGCAAGTGACCATGGATTGTCGGGTTCGTAGGAACGGAACCTGAAACTGACACTCCGAATAGTTGGTCATACAAAAGAACGAATAGGGTGCCTTTTGTTGAAAAATTCCACTAGGTGTTGTATTGGAATAGCCGTGAAGCTTCTTCAGTTCTTTGAATAAAGAATGTTTTACTTTGATGTTCAGATCTTAGATTTTAATTGAGTTCGTCGAGGTTAAAAAGTGTTCTTCACTGCTTCTACATTATTCAAAAATTTCTATTAAAATTCTTGAATTTGCTGCCATTTTAGCTTAAAAGTATGATTCGTGTCTTATACCACTATGATTCTGATTGATATCTAAGCATTTTCAAAGTCATCTTGTTTGACATGCTTGCTTGTATGACAATTTTACGTATCGAACCTACTTCAATCTAAATTATCGATTCCATACACTGAGCATTCTCAATTGAAGCTTTCTTAAACTCACTTTCTGATGATTGAATGTCTAATTTCTATCTTCTTTCATATTTTGCTGTTTATAGTATACTTTTGACCATCAATTTTAGTTTATCATCAATCTAATAATATTGAAAGTCAAACATACTTACATGCTAAGTGATACCGCAGTGTATGAGTTTGTTTTGTGTGTTTGTAACCAGTTCTGCTTCGTATTTATCGATGAAGAACTTAATTGATTTTTTCCAAATTATGCTTTTTTACTGAATCAATCAACCATGACATTGTCACGACGTTGGCAATTTCTTTCATTATATACTCATATCGTCCGTGTTTCGTTCTTCGATTATTCTTTCACTTTCTTTAGTGTTGACGAAATTACTTGGTTTCTTTCAAATTATGTTTTTTTTACGTGAATCAATCAACCATGATATTTTCATCACGTTGACAATTTTTGTCATGCTACATTCGTCATCGCTTGTATTTCGTTTTTCCTATATTGTTACTCTTTTCTTGCGGGTATGGGTGTGGGTGTGGATACAGAAATTTATTTAACCACACCAACACATCTACACTCCAAAACTTTATTGCTTTTCCTAAAATATTGAGCTTGCACTGCCCATGCAACTGATTATGTGTACATGTGAGAAAAAGTTGTTCAGAAAAAATTTTGATAAAAAAAGTTGTATCTGATTTACAGCCCAAAATTTGAATTTCTGAGATATAATGGGCGTTTTTCGTTAGAAGTAACCTTTCAACCACTTTTGTGCATAAATTTAACGAAATTGGGCAGAAAACGAATAAAAAAAGTGGAAAAAAAATGGAAATGTTCAAAAAATAGACAAAAACACGATTTTTTGTGTGTTTTTTGAAATAAGCGTAAAAAACGCACAAAATTCAACTAAAAGTTGCTACTTTTGTTCAAAAAACGTCAAAAATCGACATATCTGACTGCTTGGGTAGGCGTCTTCGAAACGTATATAAAGATGCATGCTCCGTGTGTTCTTTCTCACTCATTCGATCTGTGTGTTTCTAAGCAATAAACAATGGAAATCATCAAAAATTTTGACAAAAAAAGAACTGCGGGATGCTAATTTTAAAAATCATATTGTTTCTGAAAGATCAGAACTCAGACTATCTTCTCATGCATTTATTTTAGTTCTCATCTTTTTGGCGAAAATTAATATTTCGAAGGCAAGGATAGCATCAATTGATTTTTTTATTTTAGTCGGATTTTTGACGTAATTGCATTATCTCACTTTGGAACAATTTACATCGGAGTTCTAATTTGAGCTTACTTGTCTGACATTAGTTCGATGAGAAGTTCATGGATTGTTAGTGCATGAAATTCGGCAAGACGATGCAAAAACTAAAGGTTTCACGTTCAAATCTTGTGCAAACCCTAGTTTTCGATATCTATGATTAAAATCAACTAGTAGCTATAACTTGATTGAAGCATATTAACATGCAATCTTAAATTTTAAAAAGATTTTCTTGAATAGTAGTTTATTTACTATATAAATTTAGAACATTTACTACAATAAAATCGATTTTAACTAATTTGATATAAAATTAATGAATTTAATTAATAAAATTAAAATTATATTCGTTTATCTTTTAAGTTTTATTTTCATCGTAAATTAATTTTCTATCAAATTAGTTAGACAATAGGTGCACTGTAATTAATATTGAAATTCATTCGGTAAGCAAAAGAAAGAAATTTATTGATTAACAAAAGCATTAAAGTTGTTTACGTGAAGACGAAACCTTTTTTTGTATTCGACTTTGATAGACACATACGAGCGGTAGTACAAATAATTCGGATAGTGTGACCAACACTGTATTTGTATTATAGCCTACCGTGATTAAACCCCATAAACGTCCTAGTCCACCGATAAATATAAGTAGTGTAACACGACGTAAATCACGACCATCATGTTCAATATTAGGCAAGCTGCGTAATAATAGTATTGCCATGGCAAGAGGGAGGCCTGACAAGTAGCGAAAATGGCTA